CCGTGTGCAAGTTGCGCACGTTAAAGATCCCTTGGTGGTCTAAAATCGATAAGAGTAGGCTTCGGCCGCCACCCGGGCAAAATTCAAATTTCCTACCAACTGAAAATATTAAGTGTGTCCCGCGCGCTCATATGACCTTATGCAGTCGCGAGCGCCGTAAAACACTTTACAAAAACAAAACAAACAAAACAAATACACTCACAAAAGGACCAACGACATAAATACAAGTATACATTTAAATAACAAGCAGAAAAACGAATAAAAAATACCAAAAAAACAACAACACATTCACAGACACTTTTGCGCGGTATGTATAAACATACACACATGTACACACACATGTACACACACATCCACTCCCGCACACACATCCCTCCACACACTCACCTGTACTCTCTCCCACACCCACACCTACACCCACACACACACACACACACACGCAATCACGCACCCTTCCCCTCTCCCCTCCCATCGTCCTATATTAGATCTGTTTTTCCTTCAATCAACCCACCCCCAACCACATCATTCTTCCTCCTCCTCCTCCCTGTTCCCTGTTTCCCCTCTTCTTTTTCCCCATTCTTTTAACTCACCCCTCCCCCGACTTTCTTGATAGCCGGGCTTTTTCGGGTAGCCTTTGACCTCTCGGTGAGGACGTCGGGGTCAGAGGTCAGCTGTGTCCAGTAATGCACTTAGTGGCTGTCAGGGAGAATCGCCTTGTTTATTTCTCGGTGACCCGCGGGCCGGGGATTTATTGTAGTCTCTGATTGGTGGTTTATCTCCTGTCTCTTCTCAATACTTCTGATGGGGGCAGAGGGCCTGGGGAGGAGGAGGAGGAGGGGGGAGAGGAAAACGACAAAGGAGCAAGAAGAAATAAAGAAGAAAAAGAAAGAAGAAGAGAGGAGGAGGAGGAGGAGGAGGAGGACGATGATGATGAGAAGATGGAGCAGGAGGAGAGAGAGAGAGAGAGGGAGAGAGAGAGAGACAGACAGAGAGAGATACAGATACAAAGACAGAGAGAGAGATACAGATACAGAGACACACACAGAGAGAGAGAGAGAGAGAGAGAGAGAGAGA